CGACGGCACCGAGCGACCGGTCAGCTGTGTATCGCGTACGCTTAATGCTTCAGAAAAAAATTATAGTCAATTAGATAAAGAGGCTCTGGCCATATTTTTTGGAATAACGAAACACCACCAATATGTATTCGGTCGACGCTTTGTTTTACGAACGGATCATCAGCCGTTAAGTTACATTTTTGGGAAAAGAGGCGGGATACCACAAACGGCAGCCAGTCGCTTACAGCGGTGGGCTGCCCGATTGGCCGCCTATGATTTTTCAGTGGAGTTTGTTCGCTCGGCTGCTAACGGCCCGGCCGACGCGCTGTCCCGCCTTCCTCTGCCAACCGAACGTCACCAGTCCTCGGTCACGTCTTACATTAATTTTACTGGAAGATACTATTCCGGTAAACTTCAAGGATATTAGTATCGAAACAAAAAAGGATACGGTATTGAGCCGAATTACAGGCTATGTAATGTTCGGTTGGCCCTTCTCGACCAAATGCGACGACGAGAAGCCGTACTTTAATAGAAAGCAAGAAATGTTGCTTGATCTAGGCTGCTTAATTTATAAATATCGCGTCGTAATCCCTCCCCTCACTACGAGAACGAGTTTTAATGGAAATTCATGAGGGTCATTTAGGAATGAATAAAATGAAAAATCTAGCTCGAAATTACATGTATTGGCCTGGTATAGACCAGGACATAGAAAACTTATGTCGTAATTGCCAAGCGTGTTGCTCAGTTCGTGATAGTCCTCCCCGAGCCGTTCTGCATCCATGGGAATTCCCTCTAAATCCGTGGCAACGTTTGCATGCAGATTTTGCCGAATACGTGGGCAAGAAATATCTCATAGTTATAGACGCCCATTCGAAATGGATAGAGGTAGTACCGATGGGTCGGACGGATGCCAAAGAGACCATAGCCGCATTTAGAAGTATGTTCGCAAGATTTGGCTTGCCGTCGCAATTGGTCACGGATAATGGACCGCCTTTTATGTCCATAGATTTTAAAAATTATTGTAAAAAAAATTGTATTAGGCATGTGTCATCGGCTCCCTACAGACCTCAGGCAAATGGTGCTGCGGAAAATGCGGTGAAAACCATTAAAAAAGTTATAAAACGGGCGGTTTTTGAAGGGGAAGATATATTACAGGCAATAAACAGATTTTTATTTCAATACCGCAACTGCGAACATGCCACAACCGCGGTGTCACCTGCAGTGGCATTGTTAGGTCGCCGTTTACGCAGTCGCCTGGATGCTTTACGTCCCAACACGGCTGATGTGGTGCGAAGGGCTCAATATCAGCAGGTTGCCAATTCCGGGGGTTCGGACCGTAATATAGCTATAGGAGACCGGGTGTTGACTAGAAATTATACACCAAAAGGGGGCAAGTGGCGTGAAGGAAAGATAGTAAAAAAAACGGGACCCGTTTCTTATAGGGTCAGCATGGGGGATGGAATCGAGTGGAAAAGACATATCGACCAAGTGATACCAACCAATCGTAAAAGTCGTTATTCCCTTTCATCATCATCATCATCATTACAGCCCTTCACAAGTCCACTGCTGAACATAGGCCTCCCCCAAGTAATGCCACAAAGCACGGTCCTGAGCCACCTGCATCCATCGACTTCCTGCATGTCTTACCAGGTCGTCACTCCATCTAGTGGGGGGTCGCCCTACACTACGCCTACCGGTACGAGGCTGCCACTCGAGAACCTTTCTTCCCCATCGGTTATCGGTTCTTCGAGCTATATGGCCGGCCCATTGCAACTTCAGCTTACTAATCCGTTGGGCTATGTCGATCACTCTGGTTTTACTGCGGATTTCCTCATTTCTGAGTCTATCACGCAGAGAAACTCCAAGCATAGCCCTCTCCATAGCTCGCTGAGCGACCTTAAGCGTCCTCATTCGGCCAGCAGTGAAGGACCACGTCTCAGATCCGTAAGTCATCATTGGCAACACGCACTGGTTGTACAATCTAGTTTTTAGAGATTGAGGTATACCTGACGAAAAGATATGTCGTAATTTCCCGAACGCTGCCCAGCCGAGTTGAATCCGTCGATTGACCTCTCGGTCGAAGTTGGACTTACCTAGTCGGACTATTTGTCCCAGGTAAACGTACTCGTCAACAACTTCGAGCATAGTGCTCCCAACAACTACCGGCATAGGTGTGACATGGACATTAAACATGATCTTTGTTTTGTCCATGTTCATCTTAAGACCTATCCGTTGGGAGGCACTATTGAGGTCATTGAGCATAATGCTTAAGTCCTCCAGCGATTCTGCCATAATGACTATATCGTCGGCAAATCGAAGGTGAGTGATGTACTCGCCATTGATGTTAATACCGTATCCTTTCCAGTCCAGTAGCTTGAAAACGTCTTCCAACGCAGCGGTGAAGAGTTTCGGGGATATAACATCACCCTGTCTTACACCTCTCTGCAGTTGGATAGGTTTCGAACTCTGGTTCTGTACTCGGATAGCCATCGTAGCCCTACTGTACAAACACTTCAGCACTTCGATGTACCGACAGTCAACTTGGCACCGCTGAAGGGACTGTAGCACCGCCCAAATTTCGACGGAATCAAAGGCTTTCTCATAGTCCACATATGCCAGGCAAAGTGGCAGATTGTACTCTTCGGTCTTCTGTACAATCTGCCACAGGGTATGTATGTGGTCTATGGTACTGAAGCCTTTTTCGGAAACCGGCTTGTTCGGGAGGCTGGAAGTCGTCGAGTCTGCGTGCGAGACGATTCGTAATGACTCTCGAAAATAGCATGTAGACGCGGCTCAGAAGGGAAATCGGTCTGTAGTTCTTCAAGAGAGCGTTGTCGCCTTTCTTAAAGAACAAAACCACCGCGCTTCTGCTCCACGCCTCCGGAGTAGTGCCACCATGGAGGACGGAATTGAAGAGCTTCCGAAGGACTTCAAGTACCGGTTTTCCACCCGCTTTCAGAAGCTCCGCTGTAATTCCATCCTCGCCCGGGGCCTTGCCGTTTTTAAGGTGGTGGAGAGCCATTCTAATCTCGCTCAGACTGACGTCCGGGATATCATCGGAATAGTGTCGGATAAGACTTGCTCTTGGATCGTTACTCACACTTACGTGTGGCTCCAACGATGATGTGTACAGCTGCCCATAGAACCTCTCAATCTCACTCAAAATCTCAGGTGTCCCGGAAACGATGTTGCCACACTCAGTCTTCAGCTTTGACAGTTGGCTCTTTCTGGCAGACAGATCTCTGGTAAAGACTTTGGAGCCCTGGTTCCGCTCGATCGCTTCTTTAATACGAGAAGTATTAAAGTTGCGTAAGTCTCGCCACATGCATTTGGAGATCTGTCTGTTCAGTTGCCTGTATGCTGTCAAATCTGTTGACGATTGCAGCCTCATCTCCCGTCTAACAGCCATGAGATTAAGAGTGTGATCGGAGAGTTTTTGTGTTCTTCTGCGGCGGGTCTTGCAGAACTTAGCTCCGACCGCATGGACAGTTTCCACGAGCTTGTCGTTCATATCGTCCACTGCATTGCAATCTTCTAGGCACTGGAAGCGGTTACGTAACTCGAGCTGAAAGGTTTCGGGATTCTGGATTAGAGCACGAGGGGGACGGAGCGTTGACTTCATTAGACGAGACCTCTCCAACTTAACGTTTAGGTTCAGTGTGCCTCTAACCATTCGGTGATCGCTGCCAGTTTTCACCCTTGCGATCACTGAGACATCACTGAACAGTTGGCGTCTGGTCGTCATAATGAAGTCAATCTCATTTTTTGTCGAACCGTCGGGGCTCGACCAGGTCCACTTCCTGTGGGGCCGCTTCTGGAAGAAAGAGTTCATCATAAAGAGTCCCTCTTTCTCCATAAAGTCGGCCAGTTGCTGGCCCCTTCGGTTCCGTTGCCCTACTCCAAATTTCCCTACCTTCAGCTCACCGCTTTCTCTTGTGCCTAGTTTTGCGTTGAAGTCTCCCATCAACACCGTGTAGTGGGTTTTGGAGGAATGTATGGCTCTGGAAATATCCTCATACATTTCCTCCACCTCCTAAACCTGATATTCCCTTTCAAGGCCTAGCATTAGCGAATTAAAAGAGACCGAGGAGACCCCACACCTGAGGCCTGATAGTGGCACCGATGACTTATTTGAAGATGCAACCGGAGAGGGCAATGACCAGGACGAAAAAGGCAGTTCGAATATTACAGATAATGCAGAGAGAAACTCCTCGTCACCGCCTTCACCGAGTGTATCGGCTCGAGCACTGCGTGCTTATATTCGAGCCAAGAAAAAGGAACTGTAATTATTTTCTTTTTTCCGTGTAATAGGAAAGAATCGGAATTAATGTACAATAACATAACATCCTTTTGTTGGATGATATAGTTAGATGTTTTTATTAAATAATATGTCACTTAGTCATTTAAAGGGGGAATGTGTAGGGTATATGATAGTTATTTTCGTTATTGTGTATGTAGGTAGTGGGTACCAATAAAGCTTTCAGTTCGCTGTTCAACTCCGCCTTTTATTGACGTTACAGATGAAAGTAATGTAATTGAGCGATAGTTCGAGTAGTCATCACGTTGAAGCTAACGAATTTTATTTTTTGTGTATTATTCATAGTGCATATATGTTATTCCTCGACAGACCCACGCTTTCTGAGCCTTTTTTCACAAAAAATCGATAAAACGGCGATAAGCAATTCCATCAGGCCAAAAGTCATCCTTCAAAAATATATCTACTTTATGGTTAGGCACGTAGATCTTGTATGCATCATAATTTTTCTCTACCTTCGTAACCATTTTTTCTATAGTCACCTTTATGTTTACCTTATTCTCAATGTAATTCATTATGAGTAGTAAAAGGACATGGACACCTCCTTCGACACGTTATAAATATAAATAGGAGTGTTGACAACCGCTGCTCTGAACTTTTCATTTGGCTCTGTTGAAGCTTTTCCTATATTTCCTACAAAGCGGTTTTTAAGTCTTTTGCGTTGCACTTTTACCCATTTTTCATCAAAAGCCGGTTCCCTTCATACTCAGCCGCGGGCAATTTCGGCTAACGATCGTTGCAAAGGTACTGCGGCCTTCGTGGTCGTGTGTTCGTCGCTCGCTTGCACCGAGCACGGCTGCGCGTGAGTCATCGTATCTGTGCTGCTCACTTGTTTAGGACGTTCTCGCCCAGCTGATTCACTAACCGCTAATTTTTGAAACGCTGATTCTTGCGTCTTGTTACCCTCCAATAAATTATCTGTGCCTAACATCGGCCGATACTCCCGTAATTGCTGAGGTGGTGGCTGATGCACAGGGAAAGTAGTGTTAACATCCTGTAATGGATGTAACCCCATAGGTCCACTATCATAGGCAAAACTATTTAATAAGCCAACGCCTCGTCTGGTATTTACGTTGCCGGTAAAATAGTTTACAACTGATTTTTTCTTCAGGGATTCAAGATCAAGCTCCTCAAGCTGGCTAGTGGACACATATTGTTCTTTGATCACTGTTAATTCAGATTGAATTCTTACAATATCTTTGAGGAGCCGTGTTACATCGACGTGGTCAAATAGAACCGGGGGTAATTTGTGCGATTCCCGCGCGACAAAAATAGGGAATTCTTCAGGATCTGTCACTTTGATAACACAGATGATATCTTCTATATCTTGCCTCTTCCTGATTTTCTTACGGCTTGAAGTCGTTAAAGAATCGAATAAGAGATTCCTGGCGTTCACAATATCACCTTCCGAAAAAGCACTCTAGTACATATTTGTGCAATGCTAACTTCGTCCATCACATCCACTTTATTACAAATCAAATAAAAGCTAACACTTCGTTGATTACTACGTTGCAGTTAGGACATTTCACTACTTTAGACGACATTGCGAAATTACAATGCGCTCGATAATAGCGCGTGACACGACCGGGCGATGACGCACGCGTCAAAAGACTTGTAATGTTACCACAAAAAAACTTTTATACTTCTCAATTGTTAGAAGTATATAAGAATATTGTAGCACAGTCTGGCGTCCCCATTATTCTACCAATAACCTACGGCTTGAGCGCATACAAAAAAGATTTTTATGGCATCTTGCCTTTTCAACACGAAAATCGTATAAAAATGCATCATATGTTGACAGGTTAAAGACATTTAAAATGGTGGACAGTGAGCTTTCTAAACGCCGGGATATTCTGGATTTGCAACTTTTATACAAAATATTTAGAAGTAAGTAAGACTGTCCTTTATTACTAAGTAAATTTAATTTTCGGATCCCAATTAGATATCCTCGTAAGCATATTACTCCTCTTTCGCCACCCCTTCGTAGAACTGTACTGGGATCTAATTCCCCAATACACAGACTTAAATAATTATAATAATATAGTAGATATTCACCACGACTCTTTTAATGTTTTTCGATACAAAATTTATCAAACTATTAATATTTATTTGTAGTACCTAATTTTTTTTTGTATTAATTTAATTTTAAGCTATTGCATAGCTTCTATCGCGGGCCTTGAGTGCGGGAAAATCCAGAAATTTCGTAACGAAAAAAACCTCACGCTCTCCGACGGGCACAGAGGTGTGGCTTGAAGGCCGTGCATTGTCTAACTATGGTCTAACGTCGTTTCTTTTCCTCAGTCTTCGACACGGTGTTTGTGTATAAAGTGTTTTGAAATTTTGAATATGAATGAACAAAGTGCATTTATTATTAATGAAGATAGTCACGAAAAAATAGTGAAAGAAAATGAGTGAGTACTCTATATACATACCTACATTTTATTATTAACACAAATGCAGTACTAATTTTGAATTGAAAATATAATACTGCTATAAAGATAACCTAAATTTTTGATATTAAAATGAGCGATATTAAAAGTAGCCCTCTTTATATACACACAAACACACACACGCGTATAGTTTAAATTCTCAATTTAGATTCTCAATATGTATATATATACTCGATTAACCGGACTAATTGTTGCCGTTAGGGATTCGGATAATCGAAAATCCGGATGATCGAATGTATGAAGAAAAGCGGGTTTTGTGCATTTGTAGTACATATGTACATACATAATGTTATGTGTTTATTAAAAACAACAATTTCAACGAAAATCAATGTTTATTAAGAAATTATTATTTTTTAATAAACATTGATTAAATTCCATGAAGAGATATAAATCTATATAACCATCCGTTACTTGCGACAAACGAGCCGCCGTCACCTAATTTTTTATTTAACTGTAATGCTTTTTCACAAAGCAAAGGGCCAGATATCATTTGCCCAGTTGATCGTTTTTGTAAAAACCAACAATACAAAGCGTCTTCTAATTGCCAATTTACTCGCGGACATAGGTCCTTATGTCCGGGACAGGGGTTTGTTAGCGCCTGATAGTAGATCGTCTTATCTCAAGCGGTGTGAAGCGACGATTAGTGAGGTGCGGGAGGGGGAGGCTAGTTGCATTTGTGCGCGCGGTCGGTCACCCCTAAAGTTGGGCGTTATAACATACAACAGATAATATATTTCACTATATATTTTTAATCTTACAACACATTAGAATAATGAACCATTGACTGTTATAATATTATATTCATTATCGTTAGAAAGCGTCATCTGTTTACGTTTACGGTCCAACCGTCGCGTCGGCCGAGACAATGGGAGTCAATAAAATACTACCTACATTAATTATGCCACAAGGATTGCGTATAGCTTACACTAATTTAAACTCTAAGCTAACTTAATAAGAGCTTATTTTACTAACACAAACGCGAAGCCGGGTTGTTGATATATTGAAAGTCTCCTTGTTTTGTCTTAGACTTATGTTAATAGAGCGTGCCATTTGAAATTAAAGACAATTAATTGGACAATAAATAATAAGTGAAAAATCTTGCCGTGGAGCGTGGAACTGAGTAGTTGGGCGTCTTGTTAATATAATTGCCGTACGGCCGCCCTGACATATGTACTGCGCGAACCTGAGTTTTTTGCGACGCGGTCCGGTGATACAGTATTTTTCACAAATAGTAAGTTCGTTATAACGCGGGTTCGGTTAAATCTGGTTGAATTTGATTGGATTAACCTAAGTAACTTGAATTAATATCAAATAAAAAGAAATACTGCATAAATAAAATAAATAAATAATTATAATTGCATAAGTTGAAACAAAATGCTATGCAATAGCTTTACCGCGGCAGTCCCCGAGTGCCACACGTCTTTTTTTTTTGTAATTGTGTATTGTATATTTTTAGCTATTATGTAAAAGCTTGTATGTAGGAAATGCTGTGAGCACTAAGCATGCGATATTTACCTATTATTGAATGTGCACTTAGTTTATATCGCTGTCTTAGAATTAAGCAAACGTATTAGTGTAACATTTGTTGGTGAACCAAATAAATAAATAAATAAATAGCCACCACGGTTTTCAAGCTGGTTGGCAACCGTAGTTTTATTTTTATTTTTAGTCGTTATTAAGAAGACGCTGCTGCCCATCTCCTGATCTGTTTCCCCCTGTCGCCTCTTACGAGACCCACGGGATGATATGGTGTAGTTAATATTCTTACACCGCCACTACACGGTACAATATTACATTCATCCATGCAGCATACTTAAGAATGGAGATTGTTCAATATTAGCACACTCATTATAATGACGTCTAATATTTATGCGAACACAACACATTAAACGAAATAATTTTTTTACGTAAATTAATTTTTATTTCAGCATCCATGGCCACGGGAGGAACTAAGGTGTTTAACGTATCGATGTTATGTTAGCCCTGCTACCTAAAGTTTTGAATATTAATTTTTGGTCCAACGCAGAATGAGATTACAGTATCTTGAAGTCTGGCAGTGGTATGCTTCGGTTTGGATTTAATTTTATTAATTATAGGATCCCAATCTGATGGTAATACCCATCGATCTTCTTTATTGAAATTATACATATAGAATACATAAACACTCACGTCTGTCACCCAGAGGGGTAGGCAGAGACTACGGACTTCTATTTGGCACGATCTTGACATACCTCTTTCGCCTCCTTTACATCCATATATCTACGCATACATGCTCGTCGGTTAAGGGTACTTCTAACGTGGCCCCTTTTCAAAATATCGCCAATTTGGTCGATAAACTTTTTTCTAGGGCGTCCCTTCCCGACTCTGCCGTTCATATCTGCCATATAAATTTGCTTTGTCACTCTTTCCTCATTCATTCTTTCTACATGACCAAACCACCGAAGCATTCCTTTCTTAATCCTGGTCACAACATCATCTTGCATACCACATTTATCTCTTATCACGCAATTTCTCACCCTGTCATTCAGATTCAACCCTAGCATATTCCTTAAAGACCGCATTTCTACAGCATTTATTCTAATGATTAAAACTACTTTTACGGATTTTATCGCGTTTATTTTTACTTTTTATTTACTTTTATTTTTAATTCCCGACGTTTTGGTCGCTTTCCAGCACCCATGGTCACGGGGGACTGAGATGACTGACGTCCCGATGTCATTGTTAAACCCGGAGTACCTTCAGCTTTTTTAATTATTGTTTATGGTCCGATCTATGCAAAATGAACTGACTATGTCCTGAGGTCTTGCAGTGGTATGCTTGGGTTTAGTTTTAATTTTATTGATTATAGGATCCCAAGCAGGTGGCAGTACCCAGCCTCCTTCTCTATTGAAATTAGGATGTTTTTTTAATTTCAATAGCCTCACGTATCATCCTTGGTAGGAATCGGTGTTCTTTCGCGAGGATTTGTGGTCTATCAAATCTGATGTAATGGTTGGGTCCGTCTAGGATATGATCACAAACTGCAGACTTCCCGGAACGTTGATGCTTCACATCAGTTATATGTTTTTTTACGCGGGTCCTAATTTTTTTTTTGTTTGTCCTATATAAGAGAGACCACATTCACAATCAAGCTTGTACACTCCTGCATCTTGTAGAGGAATATGACACTTGACGGATGGTAGGAATTGACTAATCTTCTTCGGCGGCTTGTATCATGTTCTAATAGAAGCTCGCTTCAAGATATAGCCAATCTTGTCTGTGACACCTCTGACATATGGTAGTACGGCAGGCACGCGCTCGACTGTGGCCGGCTCCACTCGGTCACTGTGACGTAGGCGCGGGACCCGAAGCTTGTTGTCGTGCAGAACTTGCTTGACGTGCTGAAGCTCGGCGGCCAGGTGTTTGCTGTCACAGATCCCTCGTGCTCTATGTAACAAAGATTTGCCCACGGTAGCTAACTGTGAAGGATGGTGGTGACCAC